CCCTGCCAGAACATCTCACAGAAATTGCGTCTCGCTGTGCACAGTTGCGCTTCCAGAGCACTTTCACAGCATTGGGCACCGTGCCTTTGCAGAGTGCAGCAAGCTTGTCTGCCTCACTCATCGCAGCGCCAAGGCTGGCCAACACTGCATCCAAGTAGCAGCAAATGCTTTCGAAGGGTGGGTAGGGGGATGGGGTCCCCGATACCTAGCCCTTAAGAGGGAGCGTGGACCCGCGAGGGTCCCAAGGTTGTTGGGGGAGGATTCACTTCGAAAGCTTGTCCGTAGATCCCTTCGACCGGGAACCATGAATGGACATGGTTACGTCACACTCCCTAGCCGGCCAGTTGGCATGTCCTTGCTGACTTGGACGTGTCAACTGGTGCTGAGTGGTCGACAGGCCACAGCGCCATCCACTCCTTGGTGACTTGGAGTAGGGGTCCCTTCCACCTCTTCTTTTGACTTGAATGTGGTTGGGGTAGCTCCTTTGGATGGTCAGGCAAGTTCGGTGAACCCCTGCGTGTGGACACACTGAGTTCTCCTTCGGGAGTTCCACTGTTGTTCATGCAAAGGGGGGTCAGGTTACTGACTTGGTGATGATGTTGATCGTAATTTCGCCCTTCCTTGGTCCCACGTCCACACCGGTGGAAATGAATGGGCAACGGGGCCTAGCCTGCCAAGGTTGGATGTGATTATGTTTCGACGTTATGATCCTTGTCTGTGACCTGGCTAACGGTCAAAGTTCGTGTGAGGGTAGCCAAGCTCCACACGGATCAGACCGTCGGTTCCTCCGTGATGAATGCCAGAGTAGTCACGGTGTCCGGGGTAACCTGGACCTCCACCTGTCTCTTCCCATTCCTTCGGGTTTGGGGGTCATAGGTGGGGTGGGATCGCTATCGACTGGGTCACCGAGCGGTCGGGGTTCTGGCAGGAACACCCCGGCTTAATGTACAGTCAGGCCACAGTAAGGCCCTAAACCAAGGGTCGAGCTGTGCTGCGTTGGGACCACACCCTGCAAAGGGGAGGATATAAGGTAGAGAAGGGAACCAACCTACCGAAATTCCTCATGTGGGAACCTTCGCAGGCCACATTGGACAAAGACATTAACTCGTGGTGTTGCATGCTTCTGCGGGTTCTCCGCCTTTTTGGCGTGCGTCAACACTTACGGCCGAGTGTACGTCCTTGTGGTGGAAAGGGTACCGCCCCAGGGTGCGCTCACGCAGTGAGAGCCCAAAGGTACCAAGCGGTCAGGCCCTAACCGTTCCCGGAGGAATCTGCGTTCTGTCGTTCTGTCGGTAAGGAGGAGTTGACGCTCTCAAAACTGCATGTCCGAGAAGGAGTACCGAGCATTCTTCCCAAAAAAACAAAAAACAACGAGCTAGATGACTGCCCGTGCGGTTGTCTTCCCCCTTACTGGACATCCGAGATCTTTGTTAGTAGACACGGACAACGATTGGCAAATAAAAACGACCGCAGCCTGATGTGATGCCGTTAGGCTCGAAGAGACGGGTGCCTGCCATGCTGTCTACTTCGCAGTGGAGCGATGAAAGGGCAATGGTCATATATTTGATCCTGACCACACTAGCGGGGGAAGAAGCCCAGCTAACAATTGAACTCCAAGAATTCGATCGTCTTCAGGAATTTGAAAATGCAGTACTGGAACAACTTCCCATGATAGGCGAAAGCAGCACCCTTGGTTGTGAGCTAGAATTTGTCTGCCGCAACTCGCAGCAGAAGCTTGCTGACCCAATTTGGCAAACCTTGCGAGACTGCAACTGTTACACGGTTGTGGTGAGCCCCTGCTTAGCAGAGGCTGAACGTAAGGAGCAGATACAAGAGGAGGCCAAAGCCCTGCGAGTCCCTTTTCATGGTTATGACAGACTCTCCCCACAAACTTTTTCACATGTTGCAAGGGTACGGCATGTGCAAGTTGATGCAGGCTATCGAATAATAGGTGAGGGAGCGTGGCGCAATTGCCAACACCTCCAAATTGTTCATTTGGATAGCACAGTCACCAGCCTGCAGACGCAAGTCTTTTGCCGTTGCTATGCACTGCGTAGGGTCCTAGCCCCGGGTTGTAAGCAGTTCGGAGAACAGGTCTTCGAAGAGTGCTGTTCCCTGCTGCAGATTGGGATTAATAATGACACCACCAATCAGCTTGCTCCACAGGCAGAGCTAATGCCCCGAGCCTTTCATAAATGTACAGCTTTGCGGCAACTTAATCTAGAGTTGACTGAGTACAACCCTCACAGGTTGACGCGATGCTTGCCAGAATGCTGCTTCCTTGAAGCTGGCTTAACTTCATTAACCCTGCCTCCCGACTTTACCTGGATTGGACCGGCAGCCTGTGAGCGATGCCTGCAACTGCAACTGGTAGACCTCTCACGAACAGAAGTCACGGAAATCATGAGCTGTGCCTTTGCACACTGCAAGCACTTGCGAAATCTGAAGCTCCCAGGTGTCCTTCGAATGATCCGACAGGAAGCGTTCCTCAAATGTGCCTCCTTAACGGAGGTTTACGTGCCTCTTACACTCCTCTATATCGCAAGACGCGCATTTGCAGGGTGCACGCAGCTCTATCGATTTCAAAGAGATGGCAAAAGTGTGACTTGGAGAGGAACTTACTCTCGGGAAAATGCTTTTCTTCGATGCGATAACTTAGATATGCCAAAATGGGTTCGATGGCTGCCATGCAACGAAAAAGATGAGGATCAATGGGCAGACGACTCTTTCGCCGTCCTCAATTAGGGGTGGGTGTCGGCACCTTGATGGCTGCCATGGGTCTTAGCTGGTACCCGTGTGCTGGCGCAGTCCAGGTCAGATGCCACCCCCATGGAGTGCCCGAACGAAGTCAACTGCCCTGAAAGTGCCAGCCACTAGAACCAAGTTATCAATAGGGCCAAGCGGTATACACGTCCGCAAATGCAACACAGCGTTTCGACTTCCTAATTATTTGCCTAGCACCTATGTGCCGGTCCTAAGAGTACCAACCAAATGTGCAGCGCTACTCGCTTTCGTTGACCTGAGTAGTTAGATAGTCCCAGACTGCTACCCGCGTAGTGGTTCTGGATGGGTACAGTGTACAGAATTAGGAAAACGGCATCTCACTGTGTCTCACCCTTCACTTATTTTCGGATAGTTCATGGGGCCCTGCATGGATCGGCCGCTCTTGGCCGCGTTTGAATGAAGCAGTCAGATGACCTAAAGCGACCTTTTGCAAGTATACTTTCAAGACGATTGCCTCTCCTTTGAGCATGTCACGCCTTGCCCCCTTTGCCTAGCTGTTTGTGGGCTGTACTTGCTTGATGTGCTCTGCTTGTCGCCTCCCCCTTCGGGGGGAGGAACGGAATAGGCAACTCCCTTGCCACCGTTTTTTGAACCCTGGCCTTGACTTCACACCATCTTTCATCCTCGGCGTTTTGGAAATACCGAGCTTAGAGGTGGTGGTCTTCCTCAGTCGTCAATCAGTCGTCAATCAGTTGGTTCCGCACCCTGGTGGCTGCCAGCCGTCGTGCAAGCTATCTGACTTGAATGAGTCTAGTTTTGCAATCTATGGACCATTCCTAAGTGCTCTTATACGCTCTGGTACCTGCACACTTGCTTCGGTGGAAGGATATCGCTTAGCAAAGATGCAAAGCCTTTCCGATGTCTGTCCTTTCCGCCCATACCTTGTCCTTGTGATACGTTGACCACCGATGAATTTTCATTTAGGTGTGCAAGGTGCCATCAGTAGATGACCTTCTGTGCCCACATGTTTGCTCACAGCTTGCAACTTTGTTGCAACTTAGTTGCATTTCGTTGATGGACAAGAAATACTGAGCGCGTGGTTGAATTCATTGCCCCTGTTTCACTTTCTCTCATGCCGTCATGGCCCCCTGTGTTACTTTACAGGTTGCGTTGGTTGTTGTTTGGAGTGTGTTTTTTGGTGTGTTTGGGGTTTTTGGGTCTTCCTCTCGTTTTACCGCAACCTGGTTTGTAACTCCATCTTCACTCGACTAAGGTGACTTGTGCATAACCTGCACACACAGCGCCTCCACTCGTGCAAAAAAGAATGCCCACGGGAAGTCGGCAGTGGAGCCAGTGCCAGCACTTATGCTTACTGCCGCCCATCCATCTTGCTCTAGGCATGGCAATAGCTCCAAGGCGTGCCGTGATTTCACTGTCTGGCCACGAGTAGTGGATGGCTAAGGCCACCACTGCACCCGTGTAGCTGCCAGCACTAAGGCCCTCAACTGCAAAGTGCGGCAGAGGAGCCTGATCCGTGGTGTGCAGGCCGCTCATCCACGGAAGGGTGGCAATCAGTGCCGTGGGCTGAACTGACAAGAGCTTCCAAGTGTGAGCCACTGCCTTTTAGTCAAGGCGGCAGTGGGCACGAGGGGTGGCAGTGGGATCGGCATGAAAGCTGCTGCGAATATGGAACAGACGCTCTCAGCACATTACCTGTTGCTTGAGAGATCCCCTACGGGAGCCACCCTGGTTGAAACCCACCAGACAGGCCAAAGACCCATAGGGAGGCGCTGCATGGGAAGCGGAGAGAGAAAAGGAACCATCGTCATCTTTGCATTTTGTTGCCCAAAGCCAGTGCTCATGTGCTCCGAATGGGGAAATTAGCCTTTGTGAAGGTGACGCCTGAGACGAGTGGCAACGGCCACCGCACAGGAAAAGAGACATACATTTGCAGACAGCAGGGCGACAGTGGTGAAGGCCACTGCACAGGGCCTATTCTTGGGCATGTTGTAGGAAGATTTGACAGACCAACACCTCTTAGAGAACGGAGCAGATTGACCGCAGTGAAGCTACAAGTGCAAGTTTTCCGTCGAGAAACTCGAATCTAGATTTCAGTTTCGACCTGCATAACGTTTCCAAAACAATTGCCAACGAGGGAAAAACAGTGGTCGACACGGGAAACAAGAGCAACAAGATATTTTTTTGGGTTAGCCACGTGTTTTTAGACCATGACAATTTTTTGTTGTGATTGATGTTGGAATATCTATTTTTTTTTGAGATTTTGGATCAAGGGCTTGGTTGCAGAGTGCCTATCCTGCTCTATGAAGGTTGGAATGAATTGCGTTCTGTTTCACATTCCTCTTGCAACTTCCACTCAACCATCCGAGGTCGCGTCAGCACGATTGGCACGGGCACTTGCTGCACGAACTGCAGGATACCCCAAAAGACACATCGTGTATTTTTTTTTTTTGCGGGATTGGGCAGGTGTGTCAAGAGTGGTGCGCAATGTTTTCAAGCAAGTGAATCTGGTGTCACGTTGCAGGATGCCCTCAAGCCCGCCCATGCTTGCGCAAGGCACGTGAAACTGGTATTTTTCAAGGTCAGCAGTTTGCGCATAATTAAGCTGCACGAGGCAGATTTAGCAATCAGCCAGGGGCTACCATCACCATTGTCGGCATGTTTCCACACGCCTAATTCTCAATGACTGGCCATGGATGTGTGGCAGATCTTGAACTTGAAAAGCAATGTAAAAAAACTGAGGCCGCAGCTGCAGTGCAGGCTGGATACCAAACTTGATCTCAAACGTGTGACACAGATAGTTGGCCATGTCATGCCATAGTGCGTGTTCTGAGGCGTTTGCACGCCAGCCAAAGTGAAGGGGAAGCTGAGGCAAGATTTCAGAGTTATTGCAGACATGGTTCTGGTTTGTTCCTTGGCACGTTCCTGCTAGTAACAAAAAGCTACTAGGTGGAGGCCATCACTAGTAGGTTGGAGGCCATCGCTACTGGTAGCAAGAAGCTACTAGTGGCAAGGCATTGAAGTGACAAGAAGTGCACTAATCTGATCGCGTGAGGCTAAGAAATCAGAGGAAATCAATTCCTCAGAGGGTGCCGCCAGCGCAGAAAGCCAGGACACAGAGAAGACAGAGAAGACGGAAGAGGTGCAGCATAGTGTTGTTTTGGAGCTGAATGACATCTCAGTGCAACGATCCAATGAACAAATCAGGCATCTTCCGAAGTTGAGGAAGCATGCTTCCCAGTTATTTTTTGAATTACTTCAAAAAGAACGAACAGGCACATTTCGCGCATTTGGCATTTCTGCTGTTCAGAAGTCTCCCCCAGTCTCGCTAGGTATCAAGTATCGCAGGTTACTTCTTGAACATTTCAGCACAAAAATCTGAGAAGCTGCAGTTGGTGCCCCAAGGCCCCAGAAAAGTTGCTTCAGAAAGAACTTGCAGACCTTCAGGCTTGGCAGAAAAGTATCCCTTCAACAGTTGACAGTTGGATGAACGTGCGTTCTTGTGAGGAGCTCGTCCGGCAAAACAAGCATGAGCAAAGAGCTAAGTCGGACTGCTCACATGTTTGCCGTTCAATTTGTAGAGTTTGGGGCACAGCGTGCAAGCGGTTGAAAGGTTGCTTTTGTCATTGGCGGACTTTGAGAATAACAAGAAACGTTTCCTCAAAGAACGAGAGGCCGGTGCAATACAAGAGGCTACTGACAGCTACTGAGCTGCCATTGTAGCATGATTTGATGACATCAGGATAGAAGAAGGAGCTCTATGGCAAGCTTTGCGACCAAGATGGTGCAGGCAATTTGTTTGAGTGTTCTCTGATCAGTAGGATGTTTTGTCACTAAATCTATTGTACTTTGCCCATGTTTGCAAAGGTTTATGGCCAGCTGAATGCTTTCGCTATTGAGAAGCATGATTCAGGCGGCTCTAGCGGCATGCGTGTCTTTGACTTAGCGGCTCTAGCGAATTGTGTGTGATGGCAGGCACTGCCCAGGCACTGCACGAAGGTGTCGCATTAACCAGGGATTTGTACAAGGCTGGGCCGGCTAGTCCTATTTGTGCTGCTGGACCCTGGCGACTTGGTGGACTTCGATCAATTTCTGCAGGCCTCCTTGGACAAGTTTGGCGTTCGGCCACTTCAGGCAAGTCTTTTGCCAAAGAATTTGACAGAAGTGAAGAATTTGCACATGGAATGTATGTCAGGTAGAGGTTGGAGAGCCGTATTCCAGCTGCATTTGTGTCGTTAATTGTGGAATTTGCGACTGCAGCATTTAGGTTTGTTGCGGCTCGCCACGAGAAATCGGAGACCATTGAGAGTGCTCTTCTTCGTGCATTGCGCAATGCTGGTCTCATTGCCTTTTGGACGGTGTCCAGGTACAGATCTGCCAGCAAATTCAATTGCTGAGATGGTGCGACCAGGCACCGCCAGCAGTCTTTGTCCTTTTGTGGTGCTTGGAACCAAGTGACTTCCAGGCTGGATCCTGGATCCCGATAGCCCAAAGTCGGTTGTTCTGCAGAAGGCTGATGCTTGCCCTCACTCACTTCGAATGCAGTTGGTGTGTTTCATATTGATCAGAATGTGATCAATCACCAAGCAATGCAAGCATACGGTGGATATTCGAACATCCTGCTGCTCGCGGGGCCTATCAATCCCTTTCACTCCCGTCATCCACAAAAAATGGCTTTAGATGCATCTTCCGAACAAACAACATATTTGTATATGTATATTGTGTATTACACACACTGGCGCGGGCCCCGACCACTTCCCCACCAACAAAGCCACAAGCGCTGCCACGCGCTGTTTCTTCCTCCTGAGCTTCCTGAGGTCGTCCTCGACCGTGCTTTTCGGTGACTGTCCACAGCCCTATGGCGCGACCACACGCCAACCACCAAGCCCCCCTGACTTGAGCCAACGGAGCATTGGCCATGCATCCCCTATACTCGGCTGAGTCCCCTGTGGCATGTGACGAACGGTCGATGGCTGGTGGCACAAATCAACACTCCTAAAAACTATCTATACTTAAATTTTCTGCAATTGGTCGAGTGCATCGGCGGCAAACGTTATGGATGGGCTCATCCTCTTCAAGTGTTTCCCCTTTCGTAATCCTAGGGATTACTTCCCACACATGCTTGACGCACTTGTGACTCCTCAGGGGATGATGATTGTATCCAAGCTTGCCTCAGGCGCTTGTCTGATCGCTGTTTTAGAACCTCATTCACGTCCCTAAGCATACATCTCCCGTGTTGGAGAAATGTTCGCAAGACCGATGTGTCCATATCCTTTGTCAGCGAATCAGCCATTTGAGCGGCACTATGGACCCACTTGATGATTATTCCTTCCTTAAGACGATCTTTTATTACCAAGGCTTCTAGCAAAGTTCTATATTCAGAACATGATGGGACCGCCGTCTTTTGGAGGAGGTCATACAAGCTTTTGCAATCAACCACAGCATAGGCGGATGGAATTCTGGCCAAGGTCTCAGCTGGGGTCCTCCATTCAATTTGAGGATCCAACATCCAGCTCCACTGCAGTCTAATCCAACTTAACTGGTCGAGAGCACCTGAGAGTGCGTATGTTTCTGATGCAAGTGTGCTAGAAACAACTCTTTGGATTTTCTTTGAACTCCAAACAAGAGGGCTGACTTTGGAACCTTGAGGTTCTTCGACCTTTTGGGTGGTTGCCAAAATGAATGTGCCTCTCTGTGAATGGGCTCGTTCTCGTGTCGCAAATGCTGCGTCCGAGAATGATATGAACTTAATCTCTCCTGATGGAAGTGACTGGATTCGGATCTGGACGTCGGCATGTCTCTTCGTATCCTCTAGAAGGCGATTGGCCTCCAGAAGGTCGCCAATCGTTGCATTTGGAATCTTTGCTTGGAGCAAGCTGAGACGACATGAGACATCTGGCCTAGTGTTGGTTGCTGCATATTGGAGGCTTCCTATGAGTCCTCTTAGGGACTGTATCTCTTCAGTGGTTGCGGTGGTTTTGCTTTCTTTTCTTCTTTCTCGAGGAATCTCAATGGGTGGGATGTTTTTCACATATTCGGTTTGATTGAGCTTGATGTCTCCGGAAGGCTCTTGATTCACTTGGATTCCCGTGAACACGAAGTTCTTTTGCTTTTTGCTTCCAAAAGGATATTTTCTTTCAAGATCTTCAACGGCTTTCTCAAAGACTTCATCCCCTCCACAAATTCCATCATCAACATGTATCCCTAGAACCCCATGTATTTGACATGCTCCTCATGTTTCCGCTCGGTCTGGGATTTTGGGAGTCTGAATAAACATGGATCTAGTGGAGACACTTGGAAATTGAGTCCCAGTAACGCCTTTCGAAGCTCGGCATACCACAAGAGGGGTGCATTGACCAAACCATAAGCTCCCTTAAGGAGTTCACAAGTTTCATTGCTCTTGAGTCCAAGCTTCTGTCGAAGTTCGGCCGGCGGGTCAATCGCGAGGATGCGGTCATCCTGCTTGCTTCCGCGTAGGAAAGCAGTTGCAATGTCGAACGATCTCAGTGACCACTTCTGGGATGCAATCATTTGCAAAGCAAGCATGCGGCTATCTCTTCCTAAGGTTGGGCTGTCTCGCTGCACGCTGTCTATGTTTGGGTCTTCATATCCTAGAACTACCAAACGAGCCTTTGCTTTCCGTGTCTTCCCAGTTTCAGTGGCCGCTTGTTCATCCAACGGCTTCCATGTGAGGATCCATCTGGTTCGAAGAATTTGATGTTCAGGAACTTGGCTTCGCAAGATTCGTCTGATCGTTTCAGTTGAGATCCATTGATTCAACTCCTTGTCTTTGGCCTGTTCGAATTCCTGGCGTTCTTCGGGAGTGAGTTCTTTAAGTCTCACTTCTACTTTCTGGCGTTTGGCGGCAGAGGCAATCAGGGCTATTTGATGTTTTGCACTTACGTGTTGGCATCTATTCAATTCAGCAGTAGTCAAGAATTTTTCACATTCCATCCCAGTGGGTCGGTTCTCTTCACAGATTGGGATGGGTTCGAGCTGCTTCATTGTTTGATACTTGTGTGGATTGATCTGGAACACGGTCTTTCCAGTCCACACATCGGCCAAACAACAGTGACTGACGACTGACCCTTTCCATGCATCAACACGTTGGAATTGTTCTCCATGGTGGTGTTTTCCAAGAGTTGTGCGTGTTTCCTCCAATGCTTCGGTTGGGATTGGACACTTTGGGTCATCGGTTGGGTGGAAATATCTCATTCGTGGGTTGATGTGGTGTCTGATGAGTTGGTTCCCAGTGACCTGCCAATGATCATGCACCGTATTCATGGCCATTAGTGAGTCGTCATCTTCTTCTGGAACTGGGATTTGAGATGCATCAGGCATGGACGTGTCCCCAGTGTTCGGGCTTTCCGGACGAGACGGGATAGCGTCTGGCTCTTGATCGGGTTGGTCTGATCCTACCGAGTCTGGCCGGTTTTCCAGCTGACGACTAGATTGGGCTTCAGTGTCGGGGACCGGAATGATTTCTGGTACATTTTCAAGAGACCTGGATGCGATGTTTTCCCCACTCCCCCGGACTACCCCCTCTTGGATCTGGTCTTGGTATTGGAAGACTCCAGCCCCTTGAATGGGTGTGGTGCCTAGTTCTTGGAGTTCCTTGGCCATGGCTTGCTCATGGGATGACAGTACTCGGACATGCTCTGGTGCTACTCGATATAAACGAGTCAGGTGGGACAGCCACACTGCATTGTGTTCGACCATCAGTACTCGGGCGGGTCCAAGCCATTTGCCTTCCTCAGTCCGGGAGGACTTCCAGTACATCACCCAATCCCCTACACTGTGGATCATGCGGAACGGTCGAGATCTGGCATGGAGTGACTTCCTTAGCACTGAACAGTGGTCTGCCTTTACATATGCGATTCGGGCTGCCTCTCGCATGAGGATTTGATGTCTAAACTTACTTCCTTCGGTGTCCATGAACGATGATGCGTCCTGGGGATCATTCTCCATCCGGCTGCCCGGAACTCGCCGACTTGCTCCTAATACCAGGAGCTCGGGACTATATCCTGCATGTTTCGAAAGGGAATTTTTGGCACTGCATAGATGGAGAAGTGCTTGTCGAAACCCTTCATGATCTCTTATTGGACTTTCGGCGTGATATTCTGTCAACATGGTCTTCAGGATGGCTCCATTTCTTTCAGCCCTCCCCAGTTGCCAATGAGCTCGTGATGGGATTGGATATGCCCTCATGTCATGACCTTGCAGGAACTCCCCAAACTCTTGGCTATTGGCTTCCCCGCAACTATCGAACATCATCTCTTTGGGTGGGCCGGCCCAGCGAATCCATGCTTCCTCAAAGCATTGAATCAACCCTTGCGACGTTCCTTGGTGATAAGGGACTGCGACATGAAAGTTTGTGGCTGAGTCGATGAAATGGTAGCACCAAAAACTTTGGCCGTCAGGGCTTTTCCATTCAAGAGCATCGAATGATACCAGGTCATTAAAGTCCCTCGGGGCATTTAGATGGGCCGGACGAGCGATTTTCGGGGCTTCCTGTTCACGACATGTATCACATGCGAAATCCGGCAATGCTTTGATGACTACTTCTGACCACCCTTCACTCTGGAGTGCGGCCTTCATTTGTGGAAGTCCGGGATGTCCTAGATTTTTGTGAATCTTGATGATCTGATTTTGCAACTTTTCCGGCAATGCTCGAAACATGGGTCCATGGACTGGCTTGAAGTCACTTGGCTTCGAGACTTCCGATCCGGTTGGATCATGATCAGCGGTCTTCTCAGCTGATCCCAGGTCTGGCGGCGACGCATTGCTCTCTCGCTGGTCCGTTCCAAAATGGTCCGGCTCATATGCTTTGACCACAGGTCTTGGCGTTGAGGTCTGCTCGTGTTCCCTAGCGAACATGGTGAGCAACAGCTTCGATGGAGTTCCGGCACGAATTTGTTGACGATTTGATAAGATCGACCAATTCTCCCATCCCCCGTCAATCATGATCGTTTGGTCATCACGTTTCCGGCCTACTGCTGATCGAATGGGACATGTTTGTGCTATCACATGCTTGGGGGGTATCCGAAGTCTGTTGATTCCCCGACAGGCGTCTACTGCTACAATGAGTTTTTCAGGGAACACCTGTTGCAGAGCTTCCAAAATCTTGCCATGCGTGATCCAATTTCGGCCGACTCTCGGAGTGATCCGGTCGACTTCTCGGAGAATTTCTGTGACTCGAGCGTGCACGTCTGGTGCCCCAGTGGTGCCAGGTGGAGATTTAGTCTCGATGCGACGGCGCTTCACCTCTCTAGGGTTTTCCTCTTCCCCTACCAAAATCTCGCTCAAAGTCATTGCGATGGCTTGCTTTTCTTGATTTTGAGTACCCAGTTGGAGAGCCTGACTGATCTTTCTAGCGACTTTACGGGTGTATAGCTCAGTGTACTTTGTGATGGACATTCGACCTCGGCCTGGAACCTGACAACTACCAGCAATTGATGTGTGTTTATGCTGACCTACACACTGCCATTGTTCAATCGTGCGATGGAGGACTCGGGATGTTGTCCATATTTGCATACGCTTCTTCAGATATAATTCCGGGTGTTCTGGATGTTGGAGGTTCCCCCCAGTGCACATGTCGAACTTTGCTTGAAGTGCATAGTGTACTATGAACGAAAGCTCCCCTTGAAAGATCATATCCGAGTTGACTGGTTGTTCGAGGTGGAAATGACACTCGGGCCGTCTTCTGATCTGAAGTCGGCATAGTGCATCACACACACGGAGGTGGCACCTTTCATGAGACCTGGCTTGAGAGATCTTTTCCGCGAGGACCAGGGACTTTCCGGCGTTGAGATGACTCCAACCTGACCACGGACCACAGTTGGGCGATGTCCATATGTTTCGGGGTCTTGTGATCCAGATCAAATCATACAGTTTGCACCTTCCACCGAACGTCCCAAGATCTCCGTGTTGACGGCAGAAGCGAACAGCTCTCATTCCGAGATCCTGAGCCTGTGAGGTCAACTGGCTTTCGGCATCACAGTATATCTCTAGCAAGTCGATGCCTATCCGATTGAGGTGTCGATCTATTGCTTCGGAAGTTCCATAGTGTTTCCCAAAGTACTGCATCATTTCACTGTATACTGGGTTTTTGGCTCCACAGTCGAGTTCTTGAAAGTACACAGGGTCGAGAACGTTTTGAGGTTTTGATTTCAACACATCCAGACCAATCCATGATCATGGATTTGACCTCACACGGTGCTGTCGGCAGTGTCTCGGATCCGGTCACTCTTCTCACTTGGTCTTGGTCTCGGTGGTGCCCGCCGACGGTTCCAGCTGAGGGATGGTCGGTGACAAGGCTTGAAGTATCTGTTGCAGAGTGTTCTCCATCTGACTGACGCGCTGATTTTGCTGTTCGATGGCCAGATCGCGAAGGTGGTTCTCGTGCTCTTCCTCCACCAGGTCCCACATCCCTTCGTTCATCCAGACTGCATTCTCTTCCGAGGTGGCTGGACGGCTTGCGCTGCCAGCTTTGGCCTTCGGATACCCCTTGGTTGGGCTCGGAGTTTGAGTCACGGTGACTCCCCGGTTGATCTCCTCGGTTTCGATGCACCTGCGGAGATAGCTCACAAACATCTTGTGTGAGTGCTTGGTGCTGTCCTGGTAGCGGCTGAGGAACCAACTCACGTACTTCGGATCGGTTTGCAGGACTTCTTGGAAGGTTTGTCCTCTCTTGGCGTCCCCGAAGTTGATCTTCACCATGGACAGCTCCTCGATTGACATAGCTTCCGGATCCTGTTGATCGACCAGAGCTGCTGTCTGCAGGGCCTTGAAACGGTCGGACAGTGTCGTTCCGGTGCTGCTCGACATGGCGATCGGAAACACCTGGACGCACTACGGGGCTTGGGCACGAATCACGCTGGTCGTTGACCTTCGAAGCACTTCCCGAGTTGATCGACGGCTTCACGAACGAGCTTGCCACGGTGGTTGTGTCCTCGAACGAATGGTTTTCCAGTGCTTCACCTACCGTGAGAATACTCTCTTTGGATCTCTTCTGTGTACCTCGAACCTGATGGCCATGATTTTTCTGAGCCTGACGAACGAGTTCGGCGAAGTCGAGGAGATACAGCTTCTTTTCAGTCAGCTGCAGTGGGAGTCTCAAGTTCAGGCGTCCAAAGAAAATTTCATCGGTGGCAGTGTGGATCGAGGCTTCTAACTTACGAAACAAGTTGTTGGACAGCAGAAATGGTGTCTTGGATGGGACGATGCACACTTTGACATAATATGGTCCTAACGGTACTAACAGTGCTCGATCGCACGTCACTGTGCTGCTGTTGCCAAATCGAAAAACAGTACTGCGCGGCACTTCTTGGATCTTCGTGGACTCTGGCAACTGCTGAATGACTTCGGTCACCTGGTGTTCTCCTATGACAGTCTGGCTGGCTCCTAAGTCCACAATTCCTAGTGAGCCGTGACTTACGAAGTTGGTGGCGGCTTCAACAGGCGGTTCTTCGCCTTTGCTTTCAGTCAGGGGGCTACGGATCAGGCCTAGTTTGGCCTTCAGTGCAGGCAACAGCCTGAGCACGCAGGACTGAGCAGAATTGGTTGGACCTGGTTTCTCATGGATGACCCGGGTTCCTAGAAATCCCCATTTCGAACCCTCATGCGTGTGATGAACCATGAACACATCATGCCATGACTTCCAAGGAGCTTCAATTGGAATCATATCATCGTCTTGACTTGGGTCTGTATCCAGCTCGTGGAGTGCCAAGCCTGTGAACGTTCCGCCTTCTCTGGGTGCAGTGTTACCAGAGGCTGCATTGCGAAGTGAGCATTCGGCCTTCCAATGACCACGAGCTCCGCAGCGTCTGCAATTGCTTTCCAGAATACGCTGTGCGAGTGGCTTCCGAGGTCGAAAATCGGAGCGACCACCCTTTCCTTTTCGATCTTTTCCGAATCCCTTTTTGGAGGGTCCCCAAAACCCCCTCCCTTTTGCTCGATCAGCCAAACGCTTGTGTAGGCGTTGAAACATGCTGCCATGTCAGGGTCCCCTTGCAAGGTGTCCATGACCCCTTCCTCAAACTGCATGCACACCACCGCATCAGGGTCACCTTCTTCCGCCCATTGTTCAATGAGGTACTCATCAACATAGTGCTCTCCCAAAACAAACCCTTGCTCTTCTTCCCCAACTGATGGGAGAGATGAGGTCACCTGGGGTTCATCTTCGGTGAACAGCGCAGTTGTATCATATGTCTTGTTTCGTGTGGTGTTCGGCTTCCCGGTGTGGACATCGTGGAAAAACCTGCTACCCAAGAGCTTGAGGTTGGTGACCACGGAACGGTAATCCAATGAACCTTGGGATTCAACGATCAGGCGCTTTTTGTCATCCGAGCTCATGGAGGAATTCCTCAGCAGGGTGTAGGCACGAAACTCCTCAATGCCAACTTTCATTCCCATCAATTCCTCAAACTGGTGATCGTGTCGTGCCAAGTACGATTCATGCGTCTCATCGGATCGTTGAACTGTTCCGTAAATGGCCTTTTCAAACCTCTCGAATTTGTCCTCCAGGCGGGACTTCCCCCAAATCCCACCCAACGCTTCCACGATGGTCTTCACACCATCCAAACTATTCACACGCAGCTCCTTGGGATCAAGTCGGGAAACTCGTTGAAATGCTGAGCCTTCACACTGTAGCGCAATGCGGGGTGCCAACAACTGAAGGTGTTCTTGCGGCCACAATTGCGCCAGGAATTCAACTTTCTTTGTCCACTCAGTCAAATCAGTTTCCCCTGGTTTGAACCCAGGGATCTGTCCCCATGGAAGGTGGCTGAGGCTGCCAGTGTTGCTATTTCCAGCATCTTTCGGCGGCATCAAGACAGCTTCCTGGAACCCTCACAGCTTACGAGGTCGAACGATGCCCTCACCTATCGATCTCGGCCGTGATGGGCTCCGCTACCAATGTGTATTACACACACTGGCGCGGGCCCCGACCACTTCCCCACCAACAAAGCCACAAGCGCTGCCACGCGCTGTTTCTTCCTCCTGAGCTTCCTGAGGTCGTCCTCGACCGTGCTTTTCGGTGACTGTCCACAGCCCTATGGCGCGACCACACGCCAACCACCAAGCCCCCTGACTTGAGCCAACGGAGCATTGGCCATGCATCCCCTATACTCGGCTGAGTCCCCTGTGGCATGTGACGAACGGTCGATGGCTGGTGGCACAAATCAACAGTATATATATATATATACAGTTCATATATATATATATGTACATAATCACACTATGCTTATGTATGTAAGCATCTATTTTTGCATAGGCACATATGTGTTTTAGCGCTGGCCACAGACAGAAGAACTGAGCCACCTGTGTATATAGGCTGGAAGGGGTCATCAAGACGTCTCTATACTACTCTGCACAGGTAGGTATGGTGATTGCAAGCGTGAACGTAGCAATCCTACAGTCTGATTTCCAAATATGCGTCGGACAGCGAGCTGCGGCGTGCTAACGGATTCTCGTTTATCCCGATGTGTGGCTGGAAGTTTCGGAGCTGAGGAAGTGCACGTCGCCACACATGGTCCCAAGGCCTTGCTTTCAAACATCAGACAACAACATTTTCCTTGAATTTCAGAATACACTTTGTGGGCTGACGAGGTTCCGCCGCCATAAAAGGCCAGTTCCTGACGCCTTTCCACAACATTTGCGTGACGCAGGCCTTGTAGCATTTCTGCTTATGTTTTATGTGGAACCCTTCAGTAGGAACAGGCAAGTTCAACATTTGTTCTGTATGTGTATTGAGGGTGATATGTGCTTGGTGTGTTGTGGGTGCTCTTGCTCACAGTTGATTTCATGTATGGCTATCATGGAAGTACACCTGAGTGCAGCACTTGTATAGTATCATCAATGAAATCAACCGGATCACAGATCACAGCTTGCTCAAAGCAGACCACAATCTTTTTTTGATAGCCTGAGGTTTCGAAAAATAAGGGGGGTTTGAGCCAATTTTGCCGTTACTTGATGTCTTCAGGCGACAAAGGTCCTGAATCAGTTGGGCACCAATTTTAGCGACAGTGCCCTGTGTTGTGTATCACGTTCTTTCTTTGTGGCTGAGGAAACCTGGAACAGACCTGGACAGCACGCTTTTCACCATTTTTGCCGTGGGCAAATCCTCCTCCAAGCTTTGGCGCAAAGCTGGAGCAAAAAGCAGACTTGCACCAATTTCACGTGACATGTGGCAAGAATCATTGTTAATTTTTGTGGATCATTGACCTATGCGGAGTGTCAGAGGCAGACAAGTTGTCTGAAGGATGCTAAGGATGATTGATTAGATTAGGATTATGTATAGACTATAGACTATTCAAATCAAACTTCTCTATGATATACTCCCATTGAGGCAGGACAGGGCTTTTGATATGCTATTTAGCTACCACCTCGTGATATGTGAAATGCTGGATGAGACAACAATAGTTTGGCCTCAAACTAGCAGAAGTAGTGCAATATCAGTTTTTTCCGTTGCAATTCCATGCTACGGCGCCCTGATGACACGAGTGGAGACCTCATCTCCAACATCTGAGTGTATTGTGGGGCCAGCTTGTTTGATAGAAGTTAAACTATGCCAAAGTCTATGCCACTATGCGAAATTGCCAGGGAGATTGTGGAGATGGAGATTGGCTTTACAACGCCTTCCAGTGCCGCCAACAGATTGATTTCCACCATTCTTAGGTGTACAGGTGTTGCACAAGTTGGTTCTTGAACGCGTCTCATGAATTCTACAGGTATGAGTTCAAACTTTGGAACTACATCATTAGACCGTCTCTGACCCGGAGTAGAGCAGTCAACGAAGTTGCAACTGATGAAGGCGAGTCCGCCGCTTTCTTCCTCAGGCCACGCGTGATTTATGATGAAACAGATCTTGGTCCCACTGAGCTCCTGGGACTGTCTCAACGAGCAAAGCTTGTGTGAAGATTTGCTAGAACAATTTTCGGAAGAGCTTTCTGTGTTCCATGATGTGTTCAGGTTTGTTGCAGGTGGAGTCAGAGCAACCCGGCGAGACTTCAAGCTGAGGACAGCAATCGCTTAGGCTTAGGATGTGAGGTACAGCTCACGCTTTGGCTCACAGCGATGGATCTGAGGACTCACCGAGGTGTCCTTCTCTCCTGTTCGTTCTTTGCCCCATCTCAGGTCAGCGACAGTAACTGAGAACCACACACTGTCATGGCTTTGTGAAAGCCAATGCTCACCCTGCTCACCTAGCAGGATGGGAAGGCTGAAATTCAAAGGTTTCCGGAGCAGTCCTCAGCTTTTCAAACCTGGCAGCTGTGGCAGCTGTCGAAGCTGTGGTGTCAAGGTGGTGATTTACTTGCATGGAAATTCATCAAGCCGCTTGGAAGCTTGCAATCTTGTGAAGCCCTCAGTTCTCGTTTGCCTGTGTCGACTGGACGGAGTTTTGACCTGGCGTGGCAATAAGGTTGGTGCCCTGATATCACAGTCTGGGGCCTCAGCTGTAGCCATTGCTCGTTGATCTTCAAGCTGACAGCTGAGGCGAATCGCTTTGTTTTGCTTTGATGCGGCCGGCTGTGGCCAATCTGAAGGCCACGATAGACATTGTGCAACAAGCAAGCATTCTTTGCGCAGGTTGACAAGTCTGTTGTAAAGGACCTCTTGGAATCACACGAAGCGCAAACTTGGACGTCCGTATCCGCAGGTTCTTTATGACTGAAGGACAACATCCATTTGAAGCTAATTGTTTGTGTTCCAGCAAAAATCCAGCAAACAATGCTGAAGCCAGATCTGCATAGTGTGTAATTACGACATGGGGACAGCCATTCAACAAGCTTGAATGCCGGCATTGACCATTTTGTGAAGGGACTTGTCTATCGCTGACAGCATGGTTTAGCAGCGTACGGGCATTTCATGGCAGTGGAGAGGCCCGTTGTACAAAACCATTCCCAGCCCTGCAAGTGTATGTAGTGTCTGGGATTGAAGGTTTGGTGGCTTTCCCCTCGAATTTCGAGTTTGTAGTCCATGCGGCGTTCCAGTCTACGTCCCGCTCCCGCGATGAAAGATCAGTTCGCCACAGCTGGAGCGGAACAGCGCGGAAATCATTTCAGGTTCACTTCTTTCTCATCGCATTCTTTGTATGGCAGCTGTCAAATGAAGAGGCTTCTTCTTCACAAGAACATTCACATGATTCATCAATCATTATCATTTTCAGCTGTCTGTCAAATGAAGGGGGCCGCAAGAAGACAAAGTGGACTTCCTGACTACCACCAAGCAGGATTTATCGCTTTAACGTGTCGCTGGCAAGTTGGTAGGTCGATTGCTTGACATTAAGCAATAGTGCAGTGTCACATTGTGCACGATATTTTTTGTTCTGGTGATTCTTCCAATGGGTCCAAGATTCAAGAAAGGTGTCTCGTGAGCTTTGTGATTCTCTTCCTCACGGTCTACTTCGCATGATTGCAGAATGAATGAAGGATCTTCAAATAAACGCGGCTTTTTTTTTGCGCTTTGTGGCCGCATTGCAGCCTTCGGATGCCTCTTTGACAACCCAAACTCTTGATGCCCCAGGTGTTGTTGCACGAGTTGGGGCATTGCGGAGGCTGTGGAGTTTGTGGCATTTCCTGTGACAGTGTCGCCATTTTTGATCATAGTCAGGAGCCAAGTTGGTTGGCGGACGAGTGGATCGTATCCTGTGCCGCACTAAGACTTGTACTTGTACTCATTCAAAAGTTATAAGTGTCCCGAAACATCTAGGAAGCAAATGAATAGTGCGAGCGTGAGCTATCTTGCGTCCAGTTGCTAGCAAGCTTACCATTTTGGCAGCACAGCTTAAGTAGCCGCCTACTTGCTTAAGTAAGAGCAGTAAAGTAAGTTAGAGCGGGCTAAACAAAAAGCAAATGAGTATATAAACATTTGCTGGTTGTTTGCTGAGACTTTGGCCACTTGGTGGGTTAGCTTTCTGCAGCAGTGGTTGTGGGCCAAAAGGGGACCTGCTGGTTGCTCTTGCAGGACGCAGCAATATTCCTGGTTTGCTTCTTTACTTGGTCTCACCTTTTTTCACTTGCTTGGAGTTTTGTCAGGACCTCTGACTCACGCTCCACAATACTTGGTTTGGTACGGCTTCTTCCAATTCTCTGCACACGTCTCAGAATTGCAAGCTGTGTCTAAGTCCAGGCGCAGCAGTCAGGTCAGGAGCCACGAACAGCTAGGACGCTGGTCGGCCACAGTACAAGGCATAAGTTTGAACGTAGAGCAGCTCTGAGTGAGAACAGGAAGATCCATTTGCAAGTTTTGCTCGCCAGGTCTATGCTCGTCCGCCATGCATTTGCAGATTCTCCTGGTCGTCTTCAATCTGCTGGTGTGCTGATGAAGGCATTGACTTTGCTCGATTGATTGAACATGCTACTCGCAGGTACCCGTATATCCACTGGATTGCTCCCAGGTACGCCAGGGTTTCGAGAAGTCAAATAATAGCATTTCAATGGCTTCACTGAGCCAGGCTATCATCTCCCTCTGTAGACTTTGTGGCGCATCGGCACGCACTGCAGCTATTCTAATCGTTGTCCTGTCACTTCTGACCATCGCTCGGTTCTAAGCTGCAGTCGCACATCAGACGTTCTGTTTTTTGCTGTTCTCACATTGACAGCTCTTGAGTGAGGCTGTTCTTGTGGCATTGATGTTTGGACTGGTGCATATGCCTTTCTTGCCCCTGGGTGGGGACTCCCTAGACATGGATGTCGGAGGGAAGGACTTGTCACACTGAGGTCTCAGCGGCTTCAACTTCCTACTTATCGGATGGCTGACGTTCCAGACATTTCAACTCTACAGCCACATTTCCAAGAGAACAGAATCCAATCATCCACTTCTTCGCCAATGTCAGGACTGACCTTACAGGCGCTATGCTTTCGGAGCTGCTTGCAGTCCCCGTGCCAGGACGATGACCATTATCGTGATGTCTGAGTGCAGTTTCACTGGAGAGCTTCAAAGAAAAGCGTTCCTGCCAAGACCTTTTTGCATTCTCCCAAGGGTGCAAGGTCAATTGTGCCGACATTGTGACATTGCACCTCTAAAAACCCTGGACCCTGTGTTTATTCTTATGGTGAAGATGTCAGAGCGTTGGATTCTGAAGCTGGAAGGTGAGTACGTTTCGCTGGGTTGGCATGAAAGGGATGACCTTGCGGCTGGGAGCTTGTGACAGTCAGGGCTCAAATTAGAACCTCATCTTTGAGAACTGAGGTTGTCATAGACTGTTTGCGGAGACTCCCGTATTGTGGTCCAAGGCTCAGGATGTTGATTCGAAAAGCTCTGGGCAATCTCTCAGCAAAAAGCTGAAAGGCCAAATTGGTTTGTGGGGGCGTTCCATGGGGGCGGCCACCGCATTGATGCACTCGAGCAGAGACTCTGACTTAGGTGCTTTAGCGTCACATTGCATCTCTGAATATCTTCATGTTATATTTTTTCATGCCTGGCAGGTGCACTTTGCTTGGACTCATCCTTTGCGAGCCTCAGGCAATTGGTGGAGGACCCGACAGGCTGCTACTGCTTCCAAGTGTCACCTGTGATGATGGGCAGGAGTTCGCGCAAAGCAAGAATATCCCGCTGCCGGTATCATGGCCAAGAATAGTCAAGTCGGACTTGGACCCTTTAAACCTTTGAAGCAGCTTCTGAACTCCAAGGTACCGTCTTGGTTGGTGGGCGCCGCATTGGCCGTGGTTGAAGCCTGAGGTCTCGACATGTTTTCCCTAATAGCTTCTTCAAACTTTTGATTGCAGAGTGCCAAGTGGTTGTGGTGAGCCCACTATGGCGTCCCTCATAAATGCCCTGCCTCCCTCACACACTGTTTTGAATTGCTTGCCGTGGTAATGCATTGCTTCAAGGTCCGTTTGCGAGTGAAAGCTTTGGCTGATTTCGACATTGAGGATTACTGGTTGAGTGCTTACCAGTCAAATCCTTGAGTTAGCATGATGCAGGACTTGGTACCTCTACAGCATGCGAGGTGCAGGCCGAAGGGCCAAGAACGCCGCCAGCACAAGAAAAGGAAAGATGGAAGAAGAAGAAGAAGAAGAAGAAGGAGAAGGACAAAATACTTTACAGTAAAAGAAAGAGGAAAAAGCAAAATCTCTAACCTAGAAGCAATGGCCTCCAACCTAATGGCGAAAGAAGGGAAGACTAAAGGCAAAAGAGAGACGTTTGCACGCCAGCTTGGCTCCTGCGATTTTCCTGCACGGCAAGAAAGGCAAGTGTGGAGTGAAAGCAGCGTAGCATTAGGTCGAGTATTTGACGTGCTAAGGCATTACCCAACTGTTCAGAAAATGTGTACAACGTGTACGAAGAGCCAATCGTCAGCTAAACCTAAGAGAGAAGTGCACAGTGTGCCTGTTCTGATACCATGCCTTCACCTGTCAGACGACTTCGTCGACGTGAAACATTCGCGGCAGTTGTACGAAGTCTATGCTGGCAGCAAGGAAAGCTGGCGTGCTGGTTCAAAGCGGTTCAATGGCTATTTTGATGACATCTTATGACTTGTGTGCAGGAGTTCATCGCTGTAGATGGGGACCACAACAGCGAAAGGCCGTGCGTGGGTTTAGGAAACTTCCAAGCAAACGGTATGAAGGCTTGTTCAGCTTGTTCCTTGACTGACCGTCCTGTCCCCCGTTGGCCGCACTTTGTGCCCAGGGGTGGACAGGTCGTTGGTCACGTTATCAGCTTTTTCAAAAGATGCTTAAGGCTGGTGGGAATGTTTTGCGCTTTCAGAAGCTTGCTGCAGCAGGCTTGATGAGAGATTGGTTTCTCTTCACGTCAGCATTTTTTGCTTTCTCAAGCAGCTTCGCTCGAAAAGCCATGTGACCACTGCCTGCCAGGGAATCTCCCTTTTGCCAGGATGAAAAGCCAATCTGAGAAAGGGGGTTGGTCGCTGAAATGACTTTGAAGGAGGAGCTGGGACAGCTGCTGCTCCCGCTCTCCCATGAAACGCGACAAGGACTTGAGAGGAAGTGTTTGGACATGCACCCCTTGGAGCTTTTTGCAGTTTTGTCAGATGCATCTCCAACAGTACCTGCGGTGCGCCAGTTGGCTGGAGTCCTTTTGGCCAAGAAGATTCCATCATGTTGGTCCGGAGCGTTGCACGACGGAGACAAAGTCAAGCTTCAAGCTGGTCTCATTAGTCTTATGTTGGCTTTGGACGCATACGACTGGGACGGAGGTGTTGTAAGAAGCCTGGTGGACTGCACTGCATGCGTGGCCGATTGTTTGGCTATGAAAGGCGTTGTGTGGCAGGATCTTTTCCTATGGATACGAGGAATTGCTTCTGACACCGGGGCTTCAAACATGCATGGCCGACCAAGCCTTATGGGTTCACACACGCGGAAAAGGCGAGCCTTTCTCTACCTGTTGGATCGATTGCTGGAGTCACCTGCTTGGCAAGATCTCCTTGAGCCTCATGTCATGGAGGTTTCGGAGCTCTTGTGCCGCATAGCACTGGGAGCTGGAGCCCAAGCTAAGGTGGAAGAACTTGGGAACATGCAGAACTTGCTCTCAGAACTTGCTTGCTCGAAACATGCTTTGGAATCCCTGGGATCCCTTGCTGTCGTGGTTCGAGGAGAGGATGCTGCGCGCATTTTCCACCATCAGGTTGTCCAGCTGTTGTTAAGTCATTCTATTATGGGAAGTGACTTGTGCGAATCTGCACTGGAAGCCTTGTCAAGGGCTGCTGCTGTAGACGAACTGCTCATCGCTGATCCTTCCTTTTACCATCCTGGCTTGGCCCCAGAAGAACTCTGCCCAGTCGTTCAACTGGGACTTACTGCCGCTGTGTCTCAACGTGGAGAGCGGCGCATGTTGGCGCTTCGAGTGCTATATAGTGTCGCAGAGTCTCATTCTCGCTTGCTTTGCACCTCTGGTGAAAGGGCTGGACAGCTCTCAGCGGAAGAAGTTTTGCAGACTTTGGTGGGACGCGTGGCACCTGACGAGGTACAGGCACGCTTCTTAATTGACTCAGCTCCTTTTCCTGCAGAGGCTGCTTCAGCAGCTGAGTGGGGTGCCGAATATGCTTTGCTTGGGCGGATTTCCAAGCGCTTGCCAGACAAATTGGTCCTCCCAGTAATTTACAAACTGGCTTGCCAGTCTTTGTCGGGATCAGATGTCCCCAGCAAATTGGCAGCTTTTGCTTCCCTACGAGCTGTTCTTGCTGGATGTATGTCTTCGGTGAAAAAGCAGCTGCAAAAGATTGCTCGGATCGTTTTGCGGGCTTTGACCGATTCGCAGCTACATGCAGTGACCTTTGTACTGATAGCAGATTTGTGTGGGCTAGTGCCAGCTGAAACCCGATGTGGTTCCTGTCGTTTGGCTGAGAGATTGCTTCCTCCTCTCTTGCAGCAGTTGCAATTGCTTCAGCTTCGAGATGCAGTTTTTCCATGTGCTCTCCGGGCATTGGAAGCCGCATGCCCACAAAACGGATTAGGACAAGCCCGGATGCTTCCAGCCTTTCGCGTACAAAGTAGTGTTGTTGCCATCGCCTGGACGGTCCAAAAGCTGGAAGAGCTTCTCCAAGCCGGTCGGGACAGCTCTCAGATATGGGATGCTATTGCTACCCGACTTTGTTCTCTCCTTGCTGCCCTTCTTCACAGGCAGCCAGCCAAACGCAATGGTGACAAAACCCTGAAGACACTGGGGCACAAATTGGCAACTATTCTTCATCATATGCTTATGTCAGCATCCAGTCTGGAAAGTCGATCTATGGCCTTGGAGGCATCTGGAGCCTGGATGAAGCTTTGTCAGTTGTGTGATAACGGACGGTCCGATGGTCCAAGAGCTTCCCGCGAGCTCCAAGAGCTTCTTGCGATTTCATTGCGTGCAGCTGAGCGTGGGCTACAGGACATGGACGCAGTGACGGCAGACGCAGCCATTCGCTTCCTGGTCTCTCTTGGCGCCTTGGCTCCTTCACCCCAAGCGGCCTTTGCAGCTGGCTTGGAGCAATGTGCTCGGAAGCCAACTCCAGCCTTGTTGCAGGCAGGGGCCATAAGGACTTGCAAGAGCATCGAACAGCTTCGTGTTCTAATGGAGGCTCTTGCATCATTGTTGGCCTCTACTCAGTGCGAAGAGCTTAGTTGAGCTTTGCAGCGTGAGATCATGCTCCAAGGACAAATCGGACAAGCAGTCAAGCACAAAGGGTTTTGCGCCTGTTCAAGCAAGGTGTTTCTTTTTTGCACTCGCACAGGTCTGCCTATACAAGCTGCCGAATGGAGTCGACCCTCGACTCAATCTTTACAGTTGTTTTTGCAATGCTTTTGAGGAAACATGTTTTTCTTTTGGTGCAAGTTAAATGCACGAAAGCAGACCCTTGAAGGAAAATGCTGCATGCACTCCATTAGTTAGAGCTCGTCGGGTTCAATGTTCAAATATGCAGATATACCGCAGAGAGAGAGACAAAGAGAGAGAGAGAGAGAGAGATAGAGAGAGAGACAGAGAGACAGAGAGACCATTCGCGAGACCCAGGATTGACAACTCTTCTCTCAAGCTTCTTGGAGCAGCCAGATTTGCGCGGTGCAGCAGCAGATTTAGTGAGGTTGGACCTGCTTGATTGCTGTGGTGGAGAGATTTTGGGCTCAAGTTAAGGAAAGAATCGTATTACAGTGATGTGATGGGTGTAGTGACGGTGTCTGGATGCTCCTTGCTTTGTTTTGTTTTGTCGTTGTTGTTGTTGTTGTTGTTGTTGCAATCTTTGAGCTCAAGACCTTGAAGACACAAGACTTGCAAGACCAAGGAAACCAGCTTGATGCAAAGTTGTGCACATTTGTGTCCGAAGCATGTGCAAGTGATACAATGGAATGTACTGCATTAGTTTATTAGTCATCATCACCTTGAAACTCTTGTGAAAAGACATTGCAATGGACCCGCGAGTGCATCTGACTCGATGTGCTGCAAGCTGTGATGAAGAAGGTGCTCTTCAGGCATTGAAAGGTGGTGGAACTGGGAAGCGTGAGCGTGAGACTGGATATACAGCTCTGCATTACGCTTGTCAATATGGACTTTCCAGCTTGGTTGAAGGATTGCTGGATGCCAGGGCAGATGTAGATGCAACGACCAAGGATTTGATCCTGCAGGGCTCAGTTGTTCAGTCAGGTGGTCAAACACCCTTGCATTTGGCGACTCGAAACCATGAGGTAGAGGTGGTTGATTTGCTCTTGAATCGCAAGGCAGATCTAACTTCTGTGGACTACGATGGCTTTACCGCTGCTGAAGTCTCAAAATTACTTCAAATAGCTGCAATTTCAGAGTTGATGCCCTGTGAAGCGACTGTAGAAGCCTTGAAAGAGAAGCAAAGCCGTGCCAAGGAGGCGAGTAAGTTGCGAGCTGCACGGCAATTCGAAGTCCCTTGCCATTTGCGGAATGCTTATACACTGGAGAAGGTTTGGTCACATGATGAGTGCATTTTTGTTCTAAATGCACTGAAAGATGCGGTGGCTGCACGTGAATTGGGTTGGACCACTGACCGCCATACCGCTTATGCAACCACTGACGTTCCCTGTGAGGAAGTTCCAGCGGTTGATGCCTGGGTTCGGGAGTCTTTGTTTGATCGAGTGTTTCCAAAGCTTGCAGCTCGCCATGGATGGAGCACGAGTGAGGTATATTTTCGAGACCTATTCTTTGTAAAATATGCAGATGACGGCCAAGCTGGATTGGCGCTACATCGAGATGGTTCAACTGTCTCCTTCAACGTACTTTTGAATAAATCCACCGACTTTGAAGGTGGTGGAACCTACATTGAAGTAGATGACCGCGTGTATCAAATCGAGCAGGGAGATTGTTTTATTCACAGCGGAAAGTTACGCCATGGTGGACAGCCAATAACGAAAGGCGAACGCTACATTCTGGTTGCTTTTCTGGATATTGACAGGAATTGACAGTCGATAGAATCAAGCTTGGCCAATACATGCAGGCCTTGGCAAAAGGGGCGATTGACATAATGTCCCGAGTCTTTCGATGTGCTCAAAGCAATATATACCTGTTCACGAACAAGCGTAGCTCACACAAGCTCACACATACACGCAGCTCATTTTCTTCTTTTCTCATTTGAATGTCAAAGCCGGTCTGTGCACCGTATGCTTTTGCATCCAGGCAGCTGCCTTTGACCAAGCTGACTGTAGTTCTTCTGGTCCGGATCGCCACACTCTTGGATCTAGAGGACAGCCTCGAGTGTTGAATATTTTAAGGCTTTATGGCAAGGCCATAAGAAGCTATTAGGGGCTCCTGGCCTTACTACTAGGAGCAAGGACGTTACTAGGGGCTCCTGGCATTACTGGTAGCATTCCTACTACTAGTATATAACAAGAAGCTATTAGTTAGGATAGCTTTGATCGCTTTGCAGGATCGGCCAAAAGTGTTCTGCAGCCTTTGCACGGCAGCTGCTCATATGGCAGCGCAGGACTCTCGTTTGAGGCTTTCTTTGGCTTTGTCCTTGAAATGCCCTACAAAGCTCACGAAAGGCCGTAAAGCCGCAAAGCCTTTGCTCAGGAGCTTGAGCAGCCAGCTGAGGTATCCGAAGCACTACGAATCTTGAGGCGCCTCCCAAAGCTGCTTGTACACTATGCACACAAGCACAAGTGGCAAAGCCTGAAGGACTGTCGTAGAAAGACTGAAGCAAAAGCGGAGCACTGGCCTTGGTGTGTGCATTTTTAAATATTGCATCTTGCTATATAGTACCAAACATGAGCAGTTCCCAGCTGGGCTTGAGATTTTGCATGATTTTGGCAAGTCTCTGCAAAGGGGTTTTGTTGCGGCTAGCGTTTTGGTGTTTTCAAGTGTCCTCAACCAGAGGCTGTTCCTAGCACCAGAGCTTTGACTTCCTTTAGGCACGATGTACAGCCGTGGAAGTCTTGCAGAGAGCTCCGACGAGGACCTTCTAGCACAATCTGAACGTACTGAATGCACCGAGTGCACCGAGTACTTCCAGTCAGAAATCGCATATATAAGCAAAATATCCGGTGAGTTCATCAAGTGACGTTGTTGACGCTCTCTTTGTTCAATCACCGGTGGTCTTTTGCTCAAGACCCCTCTTTGGAGTGGGCAGCTGTTCCAGCGGCTTTCTGAACACACTGCCGGAGACAGATCGAAGACTCCGCGACTGCCATGACACACTAGACTAACTAATTATAGATTGCATATATTATTTGCTCTATATAACTTTTGAATGCTTGCTTCTTTTTCTGCCAGCTATTGTCGACAATCTCCAGAGTTGCCTCCCTGCCTGCGCAGTCAAATGACAGTGCCCTGTTTGTCTAAATCTTCATGAGCGAAACATCACAGTCATCATCTTATGGAAGCAGAACGCAGCTTTGGATTCAACCTGCACATGGATTGTGCTCAAGGGTCTCATGACAAAGGTACTAATAGCCTCCCCCCTAAGAGCGATGTCCTGCAATCTACTAGCGACGGCCTCCAACCCAATAGCGATGGCCTCCAACCTAGTAGCGATGGCCTCCCCGTCAAGAACTGGAAGGACGGGCCCCGCCAAGTTCTCTGAAGGTTTGTTAGCCCAACGCTGAGCTCGGACCAAAGTGCCCGAGGTTTCGATGTCATCCCACGTTATGTCGGATTTCTTGCACATGGCCATGGGTTTTGGAGGCCCTTGGCAATAGTGGGCAACAATGGGACATCAGAAGCAGGTTTGGCCGTTTTATTGCTGTAGGCAAACAGGCCAACATTGATATTGAGCTCAAAAAATGGATCTCATGCCCTGATGTCCTAACTCTGCAACGGTTCTTTCTGCGCTCTGACCCCATGGCCGCTGACGCCCACATGAACACTGGCCTGATGTACATGGTGAAAGATCATCAAAGCCCAGCTGCAGGATATGCTGAAAAGGTCATTGACCCTTTGTATTTACTGTATATGATTGTTCCGAAGGACTGATTGCTCAGTCCCGGAGCCAGAGTGAGCCTGTGCAGAGCATTAGCGCATTTTGCGCATTCACCGCTGTGCACTCAGCGCCGTGCAGTCTTCACAGCTGCAAGATCAGGGTGTATGCCACGCTGCATTCTTTTTTCCCTCTCCCAGGTTCGAGCATAAATGTAAGTTATAATTCTTCTACCTTTTCATTCCTTTGGTGCCGAATCGACACATTTTGCCTTAAGGGTTAAAGCTTTAAAAGGAGTTGCCAGCGGCACCCGTATGTGCTCATTCTGATTTCAATCTGGCTGCTTCTAGCCTCAGCTGCATTTTATGCATATTTATGCATACTTCACACCTTTCATCAATCATTTGTCCTCTTGCAGAAGCCACTAATCAGCTGGGATGAACAACTGTAATTTGATGAGGCGGCCTCCTTTGGGCTTTCTGCCAGTAGCTACATCTACAGTCCTCTTGCCAGTTCTGGTGCTGTACGGTTAATACTTGGGCTTGTGGATTTGTTGTTGTTGCCGTCCAGTTCCAGATGATGTGCTTCCATTTCTCCTTTCCAGTAGTTTTGATTAGATCCCTTTCCGTGGCGTAGTCAATACATTGACCGTGGCAAGGAGTCAACAAATGCTTCTGACGATTCGACCTGTTTGAGACTTAACTTGGAGCGCTTGGACATGTTCCCATTCTGAACCTGCCAGCCCAGGTTCCGAGCAGAGTGCTCCGACTGTGGCATCGACTGCAGACCTAGAAGGTGCAGGTGCAAAGGGAAGAAACGCAAAATGCGATTCGTTTTCCTTAATCACTGACAGATTGTCCATTCGTGTTGGTCCGCTTGTCACACCCAACCTTGGATTGAGGTGTGGACAATGCACTACACACACTTTGCCAAGCTCTTGGGTGATGCATCCAGACTTGGGCCCGTATGAAACTCCTCCTTTTCAGTTTCCGATGCTCTACGAAAGCCTTTCAGCAAGGGCCAAATTCATGGTTTGAAAGACCGGTGATCTGGTGATTTCTTCCTGTCGAGACAGGCAAGGCTTGTCTTCAAGACTTGGAAAACTAGATTGAACAAGATGTAGAGGGGACAGAAGGAGGAGAGACCTTAGGCCAGGAAGGTATGATAAATCGAGTTGAGCAAAACTGTCTGGGCCAATACGGTGCCAACGTTTGACAGCTTTTCCTCCCGCCTTGGGCGATTGTACATAGCTGAGAGACACATCACTTCGAGCGCGATGCAAATGCTACAGCAAGCAAACATGATGCTGAATGACACTGGCAGCAGTGACAGTAAGGGAAGAATCGGGTCCTGCAGAGGCCGGCTGAGCAGCCGATGGTACCCACGCTCCTTTGGGATCCACAATTTGCAGTGCCTTCTTTGGCCAGAACCTCAGATTGCCTGAGCCAGAAGTGCAGGGAGCGCAGGATTTTCCATTAACCAATGGATCATGAGGACGGCGTTCCACTCCGTGTGCGCCAGACACAATACATACAAATACGCAATGGTCTTTCCTCTCTTGTTGTGTCCTGAATGGGTATTCTTTCTTTTTGAAGTACATCACGAAGGAAGAAGTCAAGGAAGCATGGAAGGACGAGGAAGGAAGGGAATGACGGGAAGGAACGGAACGAAAGGAACAGAACAAAAAAAGAAGGAATGGAAGGGAAGGAAAGGAAAGATTAAACATTGGTGCCGCATAGCATTCAATCTGACCATAAAACATGAAGATTAGACTGCGAAAGAGTGCACTTCAAGCACCATGTCCTTTTCTTTTCGCAATTCCTAACAGTAACAGTACCCCTAAACAAACTCACAATACCAATGAGTACATCGACACTCTTGCACATATATTCTCTTCGTTATTCCGTTGCTGGTGGCAATTTCGGAAGCTGACATGCATTTGCAGATACTGTTTCCAATGTTGGGACAGTCCGCAGGTACCTATGCAGAGACATAGCAGCACAGTAGAACCCTTAGAGATGAGTTTGGATCCAGGACATCTAAAAGATCTTTAAAGATCTTCGCTCAGGACCTTGCTAAAAAGGACAAGAAGAGAGTATCTTACGTGACGGCTGCCGCCAAAGCATGCAGGCAAAGTGATGGGACAAGGAACAACTAAGCACATTTTGTCTGAATTTTATGAATTTCACCATTCAAAATTGTCCGGCTGGCAGGCACGCAGACATGTCAAGAGGTACAGGCATCGAGCATTTGTAGCTGCAATTGCGCGCTCTCTCTCTCTCTCTCTTTTTTAAAAATCTGCATCTCTCTGAATTTGTCCAATTGACATTGACAAGAGCTGGGCTAAATGCAGGTGCACGCCAGCTGACCTTCAGCCTCATCCCAGAAGTGAGTCACCGAAGTGCTCAAGAAGTGAAAGGACATGATGTTTGAGGGCTTTTGAGGACTTGGGGTGCAAGTGTGGAACCACATATATAATCGAAGTATTGAATCTACATATTTCATGTTCGAGAGTAGCAACGTGCGATTCGAAAACGATGTGAGGCCAGGCCGTAAGGCAGCTCCTGCCCAGGCTGTGGTCGGTCGTCTCTGAACGTTCAGGTTCTGTTGTCTGTTGCTTGACTTGTCTAGTAGCTCAGTAGCGCCAAGGAGTGGTTCAACTGATAGAAAGGGCACATGGTACAGTCTTCATACTTGGGACACTCAACATGGAACCTTGGAATGTAATGTTGCTGTCCGTTGGTCGCATCTCCAGCACCATCCAGCCTTTGCTCAGCCTGTCAACTAGGTACCAGTTTCTTTCACTTGCGCTGTAGGTCAGATGCCAACGCTCATTGACACATCCAAGCCAAATCATGGACACAGCGTCAAAAGGGGAGACTTGCAAGCTTGGCTTGTTTCATGGACAATCTTTCAGACATATCTTACAATTTGGTGGCAATGCCCCATGTCAAATCTCCAGTGCTCTGCAGATTTTACACAGCTCAAGTTTGTTTGAGAGTTGATGAAGTTTGACGACACCATGACATGTAGTTTGAACTTTGAACCATGGTTCTGGAGCCTTTCCAATGCGAAACTCACTTCAGAATTGGATAATAGCAGAGCATGCGCAGCAGAAGCAGCAGAAGCAGTGGAAGTCGCAGCTACCTGCTTGCATTGTTTGCCAAACATTGGACTGATGTCGAAGCCTACAACAGAAATAGACCTTTCTGGGCAAGGACCTTGGTACATCGAGTTTGCCTTGCCATTTACAAGTGCAGCCCTTCAGGTTTGGCCTGGAACGAATACAGCACATCGGCCGTTTGCCTAAAGCTGGGAAGTCATCATTTTTCAAGATCCAGAGACTTGGTTTGGCGAATCGTTGATCTAACTTCAGGCCGCGGTCAGTACGCCAGTGCCCAGCTTGTGAAAGAAACGGCCTGGCAGCCTGGGACTTGCTGACCTCTTGGAATCATGAAGCTAAGTTACTCCAAGGCATCTGGGCAAACTTTCGTGGCCAAGTGCATCTCTTTGGCTGCCCTGAACGAACATGACCAGGACTTGGCACACCAGGAGGCCCGGAAAGCAGCAGAGTGGTTGCCAACAGTTGATGTTCAGAAACTGGCAGGTTTTCCTATTGCAGACGCTGGCCCATCCTTACATTGTGGCATACAGAGATAGCTTCCTGATTGAGGGAGTCTGCAACTTACAGTGGCCAAGACATTGCCTAGGAGGAGACTTGGGGTCCCATGCGTGGGTTGCTTGTTGAGGCCAATACTCTTGTGATCGTGATGGAGCCAGCAGACCCAGAGACCAGGGCCTGAAAGCTGAACCAAAGATTCTGCACTGACAAGACTAGGGCAGCACCCGGGTAATGAAAACTAGTACCAGGCAGTTATATAGATGTTAAGCAAAGTGTCCTAGCGGCTAGCGCCTTTCTCAAAATTCCAGCAGTGACACATCACCCATGCAATTCGCATCCGGCACTGGCGCTAGCAAAACCAAGCAAGCTACAATGGCAGCAACAATGACTCGTCATAATGACAATAGCGAAGTCAAGCATAGGTGGCGACAGGTGTGACCAGCCACAATTTCGGAACATCAACGTCACGGGAGTGTGACAATGACAACAGCAATGATCAGTTACAATGACAAACGGCAAGGCCAAGTTGGTGACAAAGTCCACGACAACCATAATCGCAACAGCAATGACAACTCACAGTAACAACACGCACACACACGCACACATAACAAAGCACAATGGCAACACCTCACAATGATATTGCTTTTGCCATATTGCACAATGACATAAATATAACAATGATCAAGGTAAAAACACATGCAAGAGCCGTGACAAGTCACAATCACAACAAGAACCAGCGTACTGGCAACGTCAAAACAAGAGATGCTATGGGTCAATTAGATGTTTGGAAAATAGCTCCTGGCATCGCTGCTAGTAACAAGGGCATCGCTACTAGGAGCAAGAAGCTACTAGTAGCAAGAAACTATACATCAATTCCTTCGACTCTTTCCACGGAACTTTACAAACTGATTGAGGCATTGTGGGGGTGGTGACGTTCGGAAAGCGATCAAGGACACCACACTTTCACCTGGCGGCTGAAACTTTTGCAACCTTTTGAAGCTCTTTTGAGTAAGTGGGCAGGAGAAAGCAAAACAAGGTGCACATTTTTCAGAGGAGTTTGGAGCTAAGTTCTCATTCTGGGAGTGAGACTGGCAGCATGGTTCAAGTCAATCTTGGGACGCCAGTTGCTTTACTCCAAATGATACATAACCAGCTTGAATGCAAGGCAAATCATGACGTGGTTTGTGCAGCTCTGCCTGGCTTTGCAGCCAGCTACCAAGCACAACAGAAGAAAGTAATGGGAAAGCGCCAGAAGACTATAGTGGTTTGAATGTCAGCGAGGTACATACACTCAGAGAAAGTCCTGCATCGTGACCTGAAGACATCCAACATCTTTCTCACAGAAGGTGCCACACTGGATCGTGAGTGAGAAGCAAATCATTGGTTCAACACAAAGGATGTCTTGAGATTCTGGCAGATATTGCAGTAGCTTGGGTTTGGCTTTGGTAGCTTCATCACTTCATCAGAATGTGTGCATGAATGTAGTACTCGAGAGTCTTAGACACAGAGAGTCATTCGACGGTTTAAAGGCTTAAGACTTAAAAGAGTTGAGTTCAAGTGATTCGCTTCCAGATGGTTCAGCTATCAAGCTCGGAGACTTTGGTATCTCCCGGGTCCTGGAAGGGACCACTGAGGCCTATCCCAAAGCAAACATGAAGTGTCATGTGAGTCCAAAGCAAAGTGGGCATGTTTGTAGTTCATCTTCAGTGTGTTTGTTTAGTTGATGCTAATATCAAAGATGTTTAGTTTAGACAACATATAAACACGATATCACTCCAGGTCATGTCAGAAGTCGAGTTTGCTTTTGTGATGCAGGCGGCTGTGACCATTGTGGGTACGTGAGCTCCTCAGGATCAGGTGATGTACCTAGGCTTTCCAGAATGACAAATGAGGCCTTACTATATGTCACCAGAAGTTTGTCGAAGCGAGCCTTACAACTGGAAATCTGATATTTGGGTAGCTACCTCAGAGTGGCAACAGAAGAGCCGCCTCAAAGCACCTTGCCAGATTGCGTTGTGAATCAGAAGTAGATTGCGGTATGAATCAGAAGTCATTCGTGTGGAACATTCAGGCTTTGGGATGTGTGCTCTATGAGCACGGCCCTCAGCTCTATAAGCTTTAAGACGGCTTTTGGTGAGTAGAACTGAGCTTTGCTGAGATGGGCTCAGGTGCTGTATGCTCAAACACGCTTTTGAGTCATCCTCCCTGCGGCACACTTAATCGCAAGAGCTGTTGCCCAACGCGATTGCAGATCAGTTTGCTGAGGTTGGGTCTCGTCTACAAGATTGTAAGTGATCACTATGCTTCTTGGCAGAGCAACACCTTTTGAGCTTTCACTAAACATGTGTGTGCTGCCAAGGATCCAATTCCATCGTTTTATTCGTGCTTCCCTTATTTGCCGCTTTAGTTGGTTGTTCCAGTGATTTCCTTTTATGTCGGGCATTTATTGGATGGCTTTGTGCACTTGCAGGGCTGAGCTGAATAATCTCATCAACCAGCTCTTGATGAAGAATGCAGAGCTGAAATCTCAGGGGTGGAGTTAGTCCAACTGTCTTTCTAAGTTTCTAGAGGCCTTGCATTGCATGAACATTCTTTTTCATTGGTTTCCAGGCTTTTGGTCCTCTGGAGCCCATGAGGTCTCGGCCTTCTATCAACGAACTCTTTGCGAATCCTTACGTGAAGGCCCTCTTTCATTTAGACCGTTTAGACTCAGACCAACTTTTTTTTGGTTTCTCAAGACATGTCTGGAAGTTTCCTGAAGGCTTACCTGGCAAAGCAATCCGCCCCAGTGGCAGCACCGAGTCCTCCACCTCCTGAACCAAAGAAGACAACTTTGAGGCAGGAACTGAATTTGGTGCCAATAGGAACAAGAAGCTACTAGGGGCTCCTGGCCTTACTACTAGGAACAAGAAGCTACTAGGGCTCCTGGCATCGCTACTAGGAGCAAAGACGCTACTAAGAGGGCAACTGAATTTGGCGGTTGTAAATTGCACGGTAAGCTCCTAGTAGCTTCTTGTTCCTAGTAGTAAGGCCAGGAGCCCTAGTAGCGTCTTTGCTCCTAGTAGCGATGCCAGGAGCCCCTAGTAGCTTCTTGTTCCTTCTCGTCAGTAAAATCAAGCAGGAGCCCCTCAAAGTCATACAGCATATCTTTCCACCCCCACCAGCGTGGGCAGAATTTTGAGTCTTGGACAAAGACTCCTGAAAAAAGCAAACGGCTCCAGCATTCCCTGCACAGGCCTGGAGGTGGTGCGAAACCACCGCCACCGCCACCCCCTCCAAAGGAGAATCCTCCTGTGATGACCTTGGACCGGACTTGCAGCAGAATATGATGATAGAAAATCACGTTGCTTTAGTGGCCATGATCTCGCTGACAATTTGCAAGTTTCCAAACGCAGGCACCGGGGCCTGCTCCTGTTGGTTCGGAGTCTGACACTTGGCAAAGTGGCAAAGATCCATCCACGCAGCTAGAGGACTTCAGAGACGCGATGTAGCTCGCTCAATCCAACGCTTATAGTGTAAAAACGCGAACTTGAAGGTCAATGTTCAGGGTGATCATCGCGCGAATACGCCGGCGGCTTGTGGGTCAGGCAGCTTAGTCAAGTGTTTCATCCACATATAGAGCCCTGAGGGTCATTTGCTGGTGAGACAAAGACAGAGCGCTTTCTTGAGGTCAAAAGCTGAACTGGATATCATCAGTGGCTTCCTTTGATGACGAGAGCTTCTGACATGTGTTATCACCAAGTGCTTCCAACAGTCACCTTCAACTCTCTTTTTCAAAAGGGAAGCATGAAGCAGGTGGTGGATAATACCTAGTGTTGTGGGCCTAGTAGGGTAGAAGTATAAGTTGAAACCAACAAGAAGATGACTAATTTAAGTTGACTAAATACAAAGTAATCGTAAAAAGAGGTATGGGTGTGGGTAGTGGAAGTGTGCATGGGAGTGGGTAGTAGAACGAGGTAGTAACTAGAGGCTCCTTAGAGGTAAACAAATGCACAGGCAGGAACTTTTGACCTTCCCGCAAATACTTGTGCCTAAATGGCAGTACATCAGAATGAAAAGCAGGATTCACCGGAGTGCATAATTCACACACCCTGTCAGCCGCCCCCGCCATTCGTTGGACAGGTGGTCGGCAAGCTGCGTGGTGGGTAGCCACCTGGAAGCTCTCCCAAAGAGCTGCATCTTGCGCTTGATGAGGATAAACTTGTTGCGAAACAGAGCAGTCTTATACTGCGTGATTCTCCAGTGGGCACTAGCAAGCTTCAGGCAAAAATCCTTCCACGGAAAGCCCTTCATTTGAACCCAAACACCGAGATGTTTGTTTGCCCCAGTCAAGTGCAGTGGCTCAGCAATCAACTTAGAAGTGGCTTGCAAACCTTGCCCACCAAGTTCAAGGGTTCTTCTGAGAGCGACGCCACCTTTCCCGCGAAGGCTTAACATCACCTCAGTTTTCCCTTAGAGAGATTGGGTGCCATGCCAGCGATGGCAAGTCTGTCAAAAGGTTCCCCTGCAATGGTGCTGGATGAAGATACACAAGTCATCGGCCCAGATTGGATCCATCATGGATGCGTCACATTCAATCGAGGATGCCATCAGCTCCTGCTGTCCGCTCCATGCAACCTGCGTAAGGATGCCATGTCCTCTCATGCTATTCTGCAAATTAGCAAGCAGCTTCGAGAAAATGAAGGCCAAGATGATGTCAGCGTAGCTGTCGCCTGGTTTGGTGCCCCGTCCCGTCATTGTATTTATTCAACCGCCCGCACCAGTGGCTCTCAGAGAGAGGGTAAAAGAAGTATCTATAATCACTCTATTTTTGGAACCTTTGATACACTGTTTAGTTATGTCTTACTTGCATTTTGCAAGCATTGTCAGATCCATGTTTCCACCCTCGAAATTGTACAGTTTCAAGGCGTCGAAAAATGGAGTGATCATCTACAAAAATATACAATGTGTATGATTGAGGCAAGACTTAGAGATGCACTGAGGATGAAGTGGATGAGAAAAGAAATACTTACAATCACCTTATTTTTGGACCCCCTTAAAAATTGTTTCGTTGCAGGCATCGTTGGATATATTTTTCGACCCCCTTGAAGTTGCACATTTTTTTTGGGGCCCAAATGATATCCAACAATGCTTGCAAACGAGTGTTATTCACACCGAATCGCAGTCGAAGCCGCCCGCACACAGTAAAGGGAAAACAGACACAGACGCACACGCATACAGACATAGACATCCACCCATGCATACAGACATACATACATGCATACATACATCCAGACATACATGGGAAAAGTGTGTCATTAGCACCCTACCGGCTCAGCAGCAACCTGCGCTTGCGGAGCCGGGAACTAGCCGCAGCCGGGGTAAATGTTAACCCGGGCTCAAGCGTGAAGAAGCGCATCACTATGGCCCTATCTAATCACCAGCCTTTTCACAGAGGGTTTCGTCCCGGTACGTCTGTCCCCGTCTCGGTATGTCTGACTCGATCTGTCTGTCTCGGTCTGTCCGTCTGTTCTGTTTTGGTCTGCCTCGGTCTGTTTGGATGTCTTGGTGTGTGTAGCCCAGTCTGTCAGATTGTCTTGGTGGGGCAAGACGCACGAACGAGCACACCCGCGATGTCAATAATGTAGTGTCCCTGGCTTGCGCATGCATTTGCGGTGTCGATAATGCGCAATCCACCGGCCGGCATCACCGGCATCGCTAATGTTTGGCTCCATTTTTACCAAACTTGACAAACATTACAAAGCACAGCGTTTATTTGAAAATGAGGCCACCCCTAGCTAACGCTTAATTTTCCAGAGCATTTTCCCGGCTTACACGATACTTCCACAACACCTCGGCACCTTCGGTGGGGGCGGATTTGGGCAGCCTGAAAAGTGTACAATTTCAAGGGGTCGAAAAATAGAGTGAATATATACAATAAACGGTACAATGTGTATGATCGACACAAAACTTAAAGATGAACGCAGCATGAAGTGGATTAATATTACATACAGAAGTGTCTATAATCACTGTAGTCTTGGATTCTCTTACACTTTCTGTAGTTATGTCTCTGTTTTTGGACCCTCTTTACACATTGCTAGCATTGTTGAACCACCAGCTGACGCATAATTATGCCACCGTAATGAATTATACAGGTGCAGCCAGCTGATGCAAATGATGCAATGATGAAACGTATATTAAGACATAGGCTGTCGAGAGGAGTGATGCGAGTGCTACGATGATGGGAAATACAGCCAGACATAGATGATGTGTGAAACAATGTTTTTTTCAATGGTTTCTTCCACTCCCACTCCTCTCCCAGACACATTTTGGCTAGGGTCATCTTAGAGAATGAACCATATCGCATTCATAGCATCAGCCATCAGCCTTTCAACGAACCATAGTCATAGGATTCGGCTCCTGGCAGGCAGAAAGTCTGAAGCTCCTCAATGGAATGGGAGGGGAGATTGAGTGTATGAAACAACTCCTGCATTGCTCTGTGATCATGTAGCGGTGAAATTGCGTGCCTTCTCAGCACTCTATAGAATGCTTGATGAATGTCCACGAAAAGGACCGGAGTGGACATTCCTCTGGACCACGCTCGGCCCAGAAAAAGATGCACAGCATGAGACGCACACGCTACTCAACAATCCGGCAAACCTCCAATATGGGTAGGCAGCCAAAACTTTGCAAAATGCGTGGTCAACTGCCGTCTCTCGATCGAATGGAGCAGTGTAAGGTTTCGGTCGCAGCAAACCAGTGACCTTAGCCCGCAGTCCCACAGCCGCATGATCACGTTTGGCACTCCAATTTGCAGCTTGATATGTCAACCTCACTCCACCCCAATGGTACAGCGATGTAATCACATCTTGCTGGTTTGGCTCCCGGCATTCTTTGCCAAGTGCAAGTCGGCCTTTGTGCAAGTGGTCGAAGGTGGTCGGCAGAAAAAGTTAAAACTTTGGAAAAATGAAGAAAGCAAGACGCAGGTGACGCAGCCTGATCGCTCCTGTCTTCAAGTCCACGTTCCCAAACCCAAGGCGGGTGGGGTTGGTAGATATGGGCATTTGCGTCCAACCCAACAAGCAGGGAATAGATCCTATCCCGCACGTGGGTTCTGACCAAACGGACACGAACAAGAAGGAGCTCCGCATCAGCATACAACACGATGACATCACTTGGCAGCAGAAGGGGCCAGAGCTCTGTTCAATGGATCATATGACTTTGAAGTTGCTCCCTCAAAAAAGGCACATCTTTCCGTCCCTCAAAGGCAAGAATCTTTTTACCACTAAGAGAACACATTGTATGTGGCAATGCCAATCTCAATAATCTTCTCTCGAACTGGTCTTTCAACAATCCCTTCCGCAACCGCTTTGGCAGAGCACTCTGTACAGAAGGTGTTGAAAAGGAGGTGCCGACTTGCATTGCCCCATTCTCATAGGTAGGGTAAAATCCAGATGCTCAAGGATCATAGATGCACAGATTTCAAAAAAGACATTAGACTGGGCTCCTTCAATTCAAGGGGCCCGTATACGTTCTTGTTTTTTCGATTTCCTTTCTTCGATGATTGGCCAAATGCCGCCAGTGGCGACGGTGCGCTTACACCTGATGCTATGGGCCATGCACTGATGACCATGCCATTGGGATGCGGTCTCAGCTTCCCAAGTGGCAACTCACCTAACTCACCTTTCAACTTGCTTTCCAAACACTCATGCAGGACTTGCCTTTCATGTTTGATATGCAATTAGATTTTCAATCTTGTCCAGTGCAACAACTTTGCCTTGCCCTGCCTGGTCTAGAAATGGTCCCTTGAAGCTAATATCAGACGACTGAGGCCTTAGCGATGGCGAGATACAGATGTTGACCTCAGCGCTTGCTCCAACTCCTGGTGCCAAGATTTCTTTG